ATAGCTGTCCTCAAATCTTTATGCAATAAATATCTTACGCCAACAGAAACGATGGATGAAAATACTACCAAGTCATCAAAAAGTCAAAAAGAAAAATTAATTGAAAAATTTTTTTTGCAAGATGATATTAGCGTTCAAGCTCCTGGGAGAAAGGATACAATGCTAATCAATGGGAAATTAGTCTCAAAACGTTTTATGCTTATGACCTTAACAGAAGCATATCAACTTTTCAAAGCCGAATATACCGAGGAAAAAGTCTGCTAAACTATTTTTTTTCGTTCTAAGCCAACTTACATTCAGTTAATCAATAATTTACGACACAATATGTGTATCTGTAAGTACCATGCAAATTTTATTTTTTTATTAGAAGGCTGTGCAAAGATTATACCGCAGATTCCTGCCAAAGCTGATTTATTTCTTACATCAGTTTGCTGCGACGTTATGAATGAAAAGTGCATGACTAATACTTGTGACAGCTGTGTACGCGATATTAAAGACGAACTAGTTCCAATACAGTTTATTAATGAATTTAATATGCAAATCAAATGGAAACAGTGGAGAAAAGTAGAGGATCGCATAACTTTAAACTACACCATTGGTCCATTAAGGGACTTAATTCATGATGTAGAGATTCAGCTACCAGCTTTTAAAATTCATTGTTTTGTTAAACGTCACCAACAAAACTACTTTGAAACTAAAAAGAAAAATTTAGCAGCTAATGAAATTGTTATTCAAGTTGATTTTGCTGAAAATTATCGCTTGACATGCCAAAACGAAATTCAAGATGCCCACTTTAGTTATAGCCAAGTAACAGTGTTTACGTGCGTAGCTTGGGTTCTTGGTGAAACCAAGTCCTATGCTGTTATCAGTGATAGATTGACTCACAGTAAATTCGACGTTTACTGCTTTATTTCCAATATTATCAATATCTTACAAAACCAGTACAAAGGAGTTACCAGCATTTATATTTTCTCTGATGGAAGCAGTTCCCAATTCAAAAATAAATTTATTCTTTCTAGTATTCCAAGACTTGCAGCTGAATTTCATTGCGGAATCTTAGAGTGGAATTTTTTCGCCACTTCACATGGCAAAGGTGCTGTAGACGGAGTAGGTGCCGTAGTTAAACGAAAAGTCTGGCAAATCGTTAAAGCAAGAAATATCATTCTCGGTGATGCCTTATGCTTCTATGAATGTGCTAAGAACAATATTGATGGAGTTAACATTTTGTATATCTCTGGAAGACAAATTGATAGTTTTTCTAATCAACTGCCAGAGTTATGTCAAAATGTTCCAAATATCAAAGGAGTTAAAAGTATGCATTGGTTTTCATATTTCGACAGTAAATTTATTGAAGTTGCTCGGACCGCCTATTCATCAAAGAAAATAATTAAAATAGACCATACTAAAAACTAACAACTTTCTTCTTAATTTTTTAAGTCATTTTTTACTATGTATAATGTTACTTGAGTTTTTATTTTCAATAAAATTGAAATGTTATAATGAACAAAAATTCTATTTTCTAGCTCATGGAAAATTTTGTCGCGTCCGTTATGTCGCGTCCGTATTTCTTCTATACTCAATTAAAAAAAACTAAGAGAAAATTGTCATATTTCATAAACCTACGTTTAACAGTCATCTGTTCGCATTTATTAATATATATATTGTATGTATATAAAAATCCTTAATTTGCTGAATTTTGTATATTTCTGAAGGCGCCTCAAAACCACTTCTATTTTTGTCGCGTCCGTATCACTATTATAATTGCTTATAACTACGTACTTATTTGTAAATGATCCTTCCCGTATATCTTAAAATCTAGCATTCCGTCAGCCCTTTAAAACAATATCAATATATATAAACTTTTACTTTGTCTTCATTGTTTTGGACGCACTTAAAAGCGTACGAATGTCGCGTCCGTTACCGTGAAAATGCCCATATGCAAAATATTTAATAGAAAGGAAAATGTGGTTATTATTGAGATTAAAGCAAAGTACGTGATAATACGAAACACCCCTCCCCGTACGCGATCGATAGTAATCATTTGCCTAATCACCCCCCTAAAGTGGTCACGTGATTTATGGACGCCTCCTAAAGGTGACAGCAATAAATCAACAACTGTGCAAGAACTGGCAGCAGACCACTGGGCGTTTGTACATTTTCGACCGTATTTATATGGAACAAAATTTTTTGTAAAATCCGACCACAGACCATATTTGTTTGCGATGAAAAATCATCAAAATTAACACGTATGAGGCTAGACCTCGAAGAATACGATTCTACAATAGAATACCTTAGGGGCAAAGAAAACCATATAGCTGATGCATTATCAAGAATAAAATGTGATGACACAATCACAAGTAAAGAAATAAAAATTCAAGATTTAAAATTGCCCAATGAGCAAAATTCTAATTGCCAGGACTAGATCTAAAACGAAAAAACGGAATCCTATAAAAAACTCGCATATCTCTGAAAATATGATTAATAAAGATAAACCCAAAGTATATGACGAAATAAAATTTAATAACGTCAAAAAGTGTGTCACACTAAAGCTCTCTCTAAATGAGTGCTCACTAAAGAACGGAAAAGAGACTTTAGTACACTTTAAGGTTAATGATTTATTTGTTAATGAGAAATCTGACTTAGGACAATTTTTCTCAAGGCTGGAAACTGCAGCCGGCAAATGGAAAGTTACAAGTTTGAATATGTCACCAAACGAAGAAATATAAGAAACCATACTCACTAGTGAATTTAAAGAAAGCGGCAACAAATATCTAAAGAAAATTAATATAGCGCTATTACCCAAGGTGACAACAATAAATAATCAAAATAGAGATATGGTGACTGAAATTTTAAAAAAGTTCCACGACAATCCAATCACTGGTGGCCAGAGTGGTGTCGCGAGAACTACTGCAAAAATAAAACGTTATTACTATTGGCGATACATGACTAAAGACATAAAAACATATATAAAGTCATGTGAGAATTGCCAAAAAGCAAAAATAACAAGACACATCAAACCACCCGCAGTAACAACACCAACACCAACTGCTGCGTTTGGAATAGTGTTTGTTGACACGGTTGGACCTCTGCCTAAATCGCAGAGTGGTAACGAATACGCTGTTTCAATTATTTGCGAAGTAACCAAATACTTGATAACAGTTCCAGTTCCGAAAAAGGACGCAAAGACAATAGGAAACGCAATTATAGATTCCTTGATCTTAGTCTATGGCCCTATGAGGACACTCATAACGGACATGGGCACAGGATACAGGAATGAAATTTTAAATGAGATTTGCGAGCTATTAAAAATACGAAAAATTACATCCACCGCTTATCATCATCAATCACTAGGTACAGTAGAGCGTAGCCACCGCACTTTAAATGAGTATTTACGCTCATATATTTCAGTGGAAAAATACGATGGGGACGAATGGTTGCGATATTTTACATATTGCTACAATATCACACCAACAGTAACACACAACTATTGCCCTTTCGAACTAATTTTC